AGTGGCACAAAAACAGACACATAGATCAACAAAACAAAATAGAGAGTCTAGAAATAAAACAACATTTATATGGTCAATTAATCTATCAAAGGAAGCAGAAATATTCAATGGTGAAAAGCCAGTCTCTTCTATAAATGATGTTGGGAAAACTAAGCACCACATAAAGCCACACGCAAAAGAAGGAAACTGGAACACTGTCTTACACCATACACAAAAATCAACTCAAAATGGATTAAAGACTTAAAATGTAATACCTGAAACCATAAAACTCCTAGAAGAAAACATAGGCAATAAGCTCCATGACACAGTTCCTGGTGACGATTTTGTGAATGTGACACCAAAACCAAAGGCAGGCAATGAAAGTAAAAATAAACAAGTGGGACTACGTCAAGCTGAAGAGCTTCTGCACAGCAAAAGAAACCATTAATAAAATGAAAAAGCATATTATTTAATGGGAGAAAATATCTGCAAATCATATATCTAATAAGTGATTTATATCCAAAATATATAAAGTATTATTGCAATTAAACATTAAAAAAATAAATAAATAAATAAACAGTCCAATTTAAAAATGGGCAGAGAATCTAACATTTTTCCAGAGAAAACATAGATGGCCAACACGTACATGAGAAGATGCTCAACATCACTAATCATCAGAGAAGTGCAGTCAAAACTACAATGAGTTACCACCTCACACCTGTCAGAATGGCTGTCAAAAAGACAACAAATAAGTTCTAGTGAGGATGTAGGAAAACAGAACACTTGTGCGCTTTTGGTGGGGACATAAATTGGGCAGCCACTATGGAAAACAGTAAGGAGGCTTCTCAAAAATTAAAATAGAACTACCATATGATCCTGTGATTCCACTTCTGGGTATTTATCCAAAGAAAACAGTAACTCGAAAAGATACCTGCACCTCCATGTTCTCTGCAGCATTATTTACAACAGCCAAGATACGGAAACAATCAAGTGTCCATCAATGAATGAATGGGTAAAGAAAATGTGACACACATACATAAACACACACATAAAGGAATATTATTCAGCCATGAAAATAATGAAATTTTGCCATTTGCAACAATATGGATGGATCTTGAGGGTATTATGCTAAGTGAAATAAGTCAGACAGAGAAAGACAAATATCATATGATGTCATGTATATGTGGAATCTGGAAAAGGGAAAAAAAACCAAACTTATAGGCAAGCTTTTAGATAAGGAGAACAGACTGATGTTTGCTAGAGGCAAGGGTGGAAGTGAGGGTGGGAGTGAAATGGGTGAAGAGGGTCAAAAGGTTCTAGTTTTAAAATAAGTAAGTCATGGAGATGTAATGTATAGTATGGTGACTATAGTTAGCAATACTATACTGCATATTTTAAAGTTGTTAAGGGAATAAATCTCAAAAGTTCTCATCACACACACAAATTGTTGTGACTATGTATTGTGACAGATGTTAACTAGACTTACTATAGTGATCATTTTCCAATGTATATAAATATCAAATCATTATGTTGCACACTTGAAAATAATGTCAATTATACTTTAATTTTAAAAATTAGGGCAATTAATAACACACTTAAATCACTTTAGTTGAGTTCAAGTTTACTCCCTAAAGAATACTTATGAAATAAACATATTCAATCTAAATTACTTGATTATTACTTTCTTTTGTTACTTATTTCAAACTATAAAGTTCATGTACAAGATTGCAACCTGATGTGGATATCCTCTAGTATAGGTCTAATTATTTATAAACATTAATGGAAACATTACTGTCCCCATCAGGCAAACCAACTTCCTTCCATTTCATTATATAAACAAGAACTTCTAACTCAGCTCAACAACTAGTAACATTTCAAGTTACTGATTTGAAAAAATGTATTAGAGGCACATTTTAAAAACAAATACAGTATGAAATCTCGCTATTTACCAAGTCAGGGAATTTTGTTTGTTTGCTTTTATGGCTATTTGGATTACTTCTTTCTTCTGGGTAAGTTTATTATGTAACTCCCATCCTTTAGACAAAAACCCACAGACTTAAACTGTATAAAAAGTTTACTTGATATTTTCAGCTTAAACTTCATAACCAGCACCATGAGAACAATTGTATTAGATTTTAACACTATTCATTAACAGTTCCATTTTCCTGAGTTTGCGCTTGTTCTTTGGCATTGGCTTAGGATACAATCCATTTTTCAGAAGGTGTTCCTTGCTGAGGCGAATTTGGGCACCATGCTGAAGCTGGAAAGAGCATAAAGCTTGAAGAGGGCGAAGCAAAGTCTGTTAAAATAAAAAAAAGATACTAAAAAAATTGTGACAAATCATGATATTCTATCTAAATTTTTCCTTCAGAAATAGGAATTATAATGTTTTATTATCATTAGCTTTCAACTATGAAAAGCAATAAATACTCTAATAAATACATGGTAACTTCTAAATGAATAATTTTTTTAAATTCATACCATACACATCACTAAAGAATTCCAGTAAGAAGACACAAATAATAGTTTTCCATATAGGTGGCAGTCTAAATTTAGTTTTACACACTAATATATTCAAATACTACAAAAATTGTTGCCATTATAATAACCAATCTGTAACAAGCAGAATAAAAGAGACGCTTAGGTATAAATTAGTTCGTTTTAGTGGTAGACTAATATAAGCTTCCCGCTACTTGGTAACAATTAGATGATGGCAGCAATGAGTCAGTTTACTAATTCTCTCACACTAGTCCATGGCCTACATACAACTTAGATATCCAGGTTTTGGTGCATTTGAAATAATTCTAACTAATACATACCTGCCTAAATTCAAATATTATAGGGCCAAACATATAACATGAACATGTGGGCCCATAAGATAACAGAAAATGGTAGAGGCAGTAAGACAACTGGAGCATATGTCCTTCCCAAAGTTAATCAAATTCAAAAATTCAGGGGAAAAACCCACTAAGCCAGTGTTTTAAACATATTTGAGTCAGATTCTTTCCTTGGGCCTAAGGCCACTGATCTTAATCTTTTAAATAACAGCAGCAAAAACTTGATTATGCAGATTTAAAAAAATAATAAAAGGAAAAAGATAGATTTAACTACAAAAATTTGACAATGTCAAGGTGAAAATGTATTCTCTCACATACACCAAAGAAGTGGTACCAAATGGCTTAGCAGGGTAAATGAATAATGAACTCTTACAAAAATTGTGGCCATCACTAATAACTACTTCCCCATATCCATTCTTTTCTTCTTTATTAAAAAAACCAAAATTTTATTTAAGGTGGCAATGTGTCCAGCTAATAATATTACACTGATTAACGACAGACACAGTTTATCCAACAAGATGTAAGCGGAAGTCCTTGGGTCGGGCTTCCACAGACATTCTTTAAAGCAAACAGACCTAGCAGGTACAGGCTTTTGCCTTTTCTTCTTTGCCTGGAACATGATTGTTAGACGTAAGACAACCATTATGTGACTACAGGGCAATAAACATGTAGATTAAAGCCAAATGCATACAATGATGGACAGAAAGACAGAAGAAATCTGGGTCCCTGATGTCCTGTTCAGCTGCATCCCTAGCTTCAGACTGCTCACTTCAGCATTTCTTATTTGCAGAAAAAAGAAACCCTATATGGTTCAATCACTGCAGTAAGGGCTCTGCAACCCATTGTAACTCCTAACTGATACACACCAATAAGAAAGAGACAAACATCTTGGAAAGGCTCTGACAGTGTTGTAGAAAGTCCCTTAGGTGTGTTCTCATACTTTCTTTCAGTACCTTCAATTCTTCAAGCAAGAGAAGAAATATAAAAATGACTATATGTTAC